TGATCCTCTCTTGCGCCCTTTCGACGTAGAGGCTCTAGGAGCAGCTTTTTAGAATGGGCGAACCATTTCAGGTGATGTAAAAAAATCATCATTGGTTATATTTACAGGCCCCCCCTTCAGGAGATCGCTGGTCAAGTGCTTTGGAAACATATTGGGTAAAATAAACAAGATAAGTAGTTGTTGAGCGACCAGCCATAAATCCATGTTGATGCGGTTATAGTTAATAAAGAATAAAAGGATAAATGGTAGAGTACAGGGCCATCTCGAAGACGTTCGGGAAGTTAGACATTATCGAGATGGGGCGATAGTTCGACATATTGGACGCATCACAACCTTTAAGAACTTCTGGGAAAGTGGAATATTTAAGAGCTATATAAAAAATAAAACAAAGGTTGAGCCAATACGTGAGCAGAATCCTTAACCAGGACGCTTGGTATCTGATCATGTCTGGAAGTCATTTTATCACCCAATCTCTTAACTGTTCTAATTACCTCAGCTTCAGTTAATTACTTAAAGTTACAATTTATGTTAGGAGCTAAAAAAATTAGATAAAACATCGCATGTAAAAACAGAAGAAAAATATGAGGAGAAGCCATTCACAATTGAGAGCGGAGAATCAAAGTTGTTTTCTGCATCTTTTCTGGTATTCTAGTTTGAGTACGTTTATTATTTATTATTATTATTATTTATTATTTATTATTTATTATTTATACTCGTACCTCCAAAAATTTTTGAAATCAGTTTTTAATTTGCCTTGTTATTCAGCCTATAGGCTATTTTAATGTCAGCTTTTACTTTTGATCTAACTGGTTTAAATTGATTATAATAAAAAGTATTGTTTTGTATCATTTAAAATATTTATATTTTAACTTAATATTCGCTATAATATTGCGTGAATACCAGGAGGGATACTTAAAAGAATATTTTTTATGTATGTATGTGGGCAAAAATATATCAAAATTTGAATAAAGCTTGTCATAAAACATTTTACAGGCAATGTTGATATCAGAGGCATTATTTAGAAAGTTCCAATCAATTTGATGTAGTAACTATATATAATAAAGGAAAGTTGTCTTCTTTGAAATTATATTGCTTAGAATTCTGTGTAATTAATTATAATATTTTTCAAAATTGCAAAAATACATCAAATTCCAAAGCTGGGTGGTAACGATAATCTTTAACAAATTGATTATTATTGTGTAACTATCGTAAGTAATATCATAAGGGCATTTAATTTTTCCGAAAAGAATCGAAAAAACACGTTGCTAAGTGATATTTTAACAAAAAGCATGAGTGCTGGTGGCAACAAAAATCCGAGTCGAAGAGGAGGATTTTTGCACCTGCACGAATGCTTTTTGTTAAAAAATATTACTTAGCATTGTGTTTTTACGATTTTTTTCACAGGAAAAATTAGATGCCCGAATGGTATTTGACAAGACTATTTCATGAGTAACAGTTAACAATTAAAATATAAATTGCAATTTTTGTTGACAACAGCTGTCAAGTTTTGCCGCGGGTAAACTCGAATAAACTGCTGACAGGTGCTGTCACACAGTTTTTCCACCTAGAAACCATTTGTAATTCAAAATTGCGCGTTTGTGATTGGTCGAAATTAAGACGAGGGAAATAGTCGTTTTAAAATTTCCGGAAAAATTGAGCCAGCGAAAAAAAAAACATTTTTTTCCGGAAAAAATTCATTTTTTACATTTTATTCAAAGGGTAATACGAAAAAATGCAAAAGCCAATTCATTCCGTACACTGATATCAAAAAAATTTCTGACGCTGATTATAATAATATATATAATAATATATATAATAATATGATTATAATAATTATTCCTTTTATTTTAATTCAGTAAAAATATTCTACCAAGCCGCAAAAAAACCTATTCGGTGCTATATTAACATAACTTTTATTTAACACTTCGATTTATAAAATTATAATTTTGTAATTTAACTTTATATTATTTATAAATCATTCATTATTTTATTTTTTTAATGGACTCCTTTTTGTAACAAAAAAAACCCAACAGACAGTATATTTCACGTTTACGTTTATTTTCTTAAAAATAAATCTTAGGCAAACCTTTGACATATTCAATTCTGATGTTGTTTTCGCCATTTGCCAAAAGATTAGAAAGTTCGTGTTTTACTGAGGAATATAACTGGAGTTGCCTTGGAGTTATATATAATGACACGTTGATGTTTTTAAAATCCTCCATATTTTTTAGTTTTTAGCTTGCTTTATAAAATTATCAACCAAGGATTCTTCGTTAAAATTCATTCTAATGGGTAGTAGTTTTTCAGCTATAGGCGAAATTTTCCAAAACAACAAAGTTTGGACAGGTTAAGTATAGAAAATATGCTATAATTTACTTATAATAGCTAGATTTATTAATAAGATGAACTTACTTGTGTTAAAATATCACAAAATGTGCAAGAACAAAAATTAATTGCGTTTCAAACTAACAAAATACAAACGCAAATGCACGTACAGAACCGTAATACGTAAACCTAACTTTTATGAAAAAAATCATCGTTGACATGAAGGTTAAAAGAGTTTTTAACAGTCTAAGATAAAAAATTCCTAATATTAATGCTAAAAAGCCCTTTGTATCACAGAAAACAATGCGTCGAAACACGAAGACTAGAGTACAAACCGATATGAAGGGGGTGAGGCAAAAAGCGTCTGCAATGATAAAGTTTCTCAGTGCGCCATAAACGATTTAATAATTAACACATGGAAAACGTCAAACGTCATACTTAATTGTGATTGGCCCTAATCAGATATTCAATTTATTAGCAACGACGCCATATGAATTTTTTTCAATTCAGTTTGTTACCGAAAAACTAATACTAAAAATTTTAGAGCGGTTTAAAGCGTTTAAACCGCTCCCAAACTACTTGAAAACTCTTGAAAACGGTTCGGTCCATAATTTGTACCGGGACAAGTTATTTTAAAAACGGGACGGTCCATGGACCGTTAACCTACTGCACAGATAATTAACACATGGAAAACGTCATACGTCATACTTAATTGTGATTGGCCCTAATCAGATATTCAATTTATTAGCAACGACGCCATATGAATTTTTTTCAATTCAGTTTGTTACCGGAAAACTAATACTAAAAATTTTTAGAGCGGTTTAAAGCGTTTAAACCGCTCCCAAACCACTTGAAAACTCTTGAAAACGGTTCGGTCCATAATTTGTACCGGGCCAAGTTATTTTAAAAACGGAACCTACTGCACGGAGTCTAAAGCCTAAATTATAGATTGCCTTCCTTCCTTCCTTCCTCCCGTAAAAGATGAACAATACGAATCCCAATAAACAATTTTGACGTAATTGTCACCAAAAAATTAATAATGATTTGGGAACCTTCTCAATCCTTTTGAGAAAAGTTCCAAATGATGATTAACCTTTTGAGCATTATTAAATATGAGTTATTTTAGAAATAATTTTACTAAGCCCAGAAAAAGTTTTTGGCGCTTGGTTCCTTTTCGATAAGCGTTATTCATTTTGCAATTATAGTAATAAAAAAAATCAAAGGATAAAATATTTTCTTAACAAAATTATATTTTGAAGTTATTTTAATATTTTAAAGTATCAATAGGTAATTGTTAATTTTAATTAAAATTAATAACGGGCAATGTTAATGGTGACAATTACGTAAAAAATGTTTATTTAAATCGTAGTGCCATTTATATATTCCCGCACCGTAAGGACGGCATTCCTTCCTCCCGTAGAAATTTTTAAGTTTTATCTTTCACAGTAAAGGTCTTTGACATGCGCTGTAGGGTGGCAGCGCGTAGGCACAACATATTTAAAATACATGATTGTTTAGTATTATTTAAGATAGGTGTTCAGTTTATTAAATAATTTGTGTCTCTAAATAGGATATTGTTTATGATCAATGTCTTTCATTTTTAGAAACGTTGCTTTGTAAAACCCCGTAGTTTCCCGGTCTTAGTAAAGTGGGCGAGTCTTCCAACGTCTTGTTTGATGTTTTTTTTTTCATTATACAACAAGCTGCCTGGGCAAATAAAATTGTGATCACTGCACTAATATATAAATGTTTATCTTTCATATTTACACAATGGGTAAAACGCAGAATATAAACAAAAACAAATGTCAACCATTTGAGGTGTCATCGCGCATGGTTACGGAATTTTACACGGAAATCTATAATTTGACTTTTTATAAGACGCACAAATCGTACGAGCACGACTACGGGAGGAAGGAAGGAAGGCAATCTTTAATTCAGGCTTAACGGGGGCCATTGTTATGTTATTTACAATTCTTGTGCTTTGGGTTTGTGCTGTTCATACAGAATAACAATCGCTTTAAACGTTGTATTTTTTACAGAGGCATTTGTAAGCATCAAATGAGGCCTTAAAATGCTAAGGACAACCATTTTACTCCTCTTTTGTATAAAATAAACCTTATATTATCAAGGTCATTAAACTGTCAAATGTCCATTTACCTGGTAAATGGACATTTGACAGTTTAATGACCTTGATAATATAAGGTTTATTTTATACAAAAGAGGAGTAAAATGGTTGTCCTTAGCATTTTAAGGCCTCATTTGATGCTTACAAATGCCTCTGTAAAAAATACAACGTTTAAAGCGATTGTTAATTTGTGGGTATGGTAAATTTTACCATACCCACAAATTAACCTTAAAATTAATATTTGACAGTTTGATAAAAGCCCTGATAATAGAATAAGGTTTAATTTTTACAAAAGGAGTAAAATTGAGTCTGTGGTTAGAACAGTGGACCGGTAGAAATTTATAACTTGTTTATTGTGGACCGGTTCACAACCCTGGTTTAAACAGCACAAGTTATAGGGTTTTAAAATATGATTGTTTTAAATAAAAAATAATTAACAAGACATTTTTGGCCTATGGCTGTTTGTGTATGTTGATTGATTGATTTATTGATTGACGAATTAATAAACGTCATGTTAAAGTTTCATTCAAAACTCTAGGTTCAAAACACAATGATAACAATCTTCATACTTATGTATGTATTTAGAGTTTTAACAGAAGAGGATATTCCTGTTATAAATACAAGAATATTTAATGGACAAGAAGCGGACAGCAAATCATTTAGTCATCAAGCTACAATTTTTAAGAATGGTAAATTCATATGTGGAGGATCTATTATAACAGCAAACCATATATTAACAGCGGCCCATTGTTTCCAGAAATATGACGATAAAAATGATTATCAAATAGGTATAAATGGTACCATTATACACTTTTTACAGAAATATAAAATTGCGTATATTTTTGTGCATGAAGATTACGATGAAAGGCAAAATTACGACGATATTGCAGTTCTAAAGCTTATGGAGAATTTAACTTTTGACGAAAAAGTTAACTTAATAAGTTTGTCTGATCTTTCATACGTACCTTCACAGACCGAGTGCGTAGTTTCAGGGTTTGGTGCTTCAGAAAAAGCCTTGCAACCAAATATTTTGACTTATGTTTATGTCTTAGTAGTTCGCGAAGCAATATGCCGACGTTCATTCCGTTACATTTTATCCCATGGTATGATTTGTGCGGAGGGCAAACAACCCGGCCAAGGTGTATGCATTGGTGATTCAGGTGGCGGATTACTCTGTAACAATAAACTAACTGGAATTGTTTCATTCACATTAAATACATATCCACGTTGTACTGAAACTCCAGGGGTATATACGAATGTTTTCTACTATAAGGACTGGATTAAAACGCAGTTATTAAGACAATCTTCCCGCATAATCACACCAAAGGTTTATTTAATATATTTATTTTCCATTTTAATAATCACGTTATAATATTCAAGGTGTAAAAAAATATAGGGCTTCTACAATATTAAAAAAGCAGCTTATCATACCATTATAATTTGTAATGTGTCAAAGTAAAATGTTAAACCTTCTTATCTTATAAACAAACACATTTTTAATTTATTTTTATTCTCAAGGTATTTAGACCTACTGTAATAATTTGTTAGAGAAAAAATGATAAATAAACGAAAACTGACCAAAAATATTATTTATAAAAAAATTCAGTCAAAAAAAATCTTAATAGTAAGAAAAACATAGAAAATAAAAATGATGTGTCGCATATTCTGAGAGTTTAAAATCAAGCAAAAACTTTTATCAAGAATGACAGTTTCTGTGAAATGAAAAATAAACTTATTTTCTCTTTGTAACCCTATTTTTGGATATACTTTAAATACCTATACTGCCCTACTATGGAGAAAGGCAGTTACTACAAAAAAATTCTAAATGCGTTTTCTTGTGCTGTGATAAAGCTATGGACATTTTGTATCTTAATTTGTGTAAATAATTAAAGTAAAAGAAAAGAAATAGATTTAAATGTTAATAATAAATTTTTAATATTTGATATAATAAAAAATATAAAAATGATCTATTTAAAATTGAATAAAAATTTTCTTAGAAACCCAAAGAGCTTTCTTTTAACTTTTTTAATTATTGCTTGCTGAAGTCCTGAGATATAACCTGGTATTTTAAAAAAAGTTTTTCCATTTTCTCAGGAAAAAAGTCGTGAGATAAAATATTGGACAAATTATTGATTTTTAATAAATCTAGATTATTCATATTTATTTTACATAAAAACGCATATATACGTTTTAATATTAATATGTTTACATATTATACAGAATTATAGTTAGTTATAGTACATTTTTATACAAGAGATAATGCAGGCTATTATTCACAAGGTGAATAATTCGCATAATTTTAAGTGTAATACTATACTTTATCTACCCCAATAAGTAGCATTTTTAGTGGATGAAACGTATCGACCACGGAACTGTATAGGATAAATTATGAAGTGTATTGCCAAAATTACTGCCACGTGGTAGAAACGGATCTATTACGTAGAAGTGACTAAAATGTTTAGGTATAGTGGCGAAAACTGAAGCAAAACTGTACTACCCTTTACTTTCTATTCTCGTCTCTTTTCAGCATATTTATTTATCTCATTATCTTTGCTTTTTCTGAATCTGGACATTAAACTTACTCTGGATACTAAAATTATTGTAATGTAAGAATACAACTTACAAATATTAACTAGAATTATAATAATCCGAAAACATAAAATTAACACAAATTTTACTGTTAAAAATGGATGTCATAGCTCAAAATATAAGAACGCCCCGTTGAAATATGTGGTAATGAAAAATAATACAAAAATCTGTAAACTTGATGTATTTAGAGGCCTCAAATAATTTCTTTATTATTTCTAGTCACCTGAAACCAATAATTACGTATAAATATATATATATATATATATAAATATATATAAACACTCACGTGCAATATAATCGATCCACACAAATTCTCGATAAATTTCAATCGCAAATAACTCTTTTATTTGATGTCGGATTTAAACGAATATTAAAGAATATTGTAGATAAATTAATGGATAATCGCTCACATTTTAAAAAATTACTAAAAAATAGACGTACGTTTATAATATACAGGTTTAAACAAAAAGATGTTTTTTACCATAAGTTTAAGACACTCTGTAGAGTGGCAAAACCGTATATTGTTCTAAGTTAAGTTTTATTTATCAAGTCACATCAACAGTTTTGTTTTTGGTTCACCTCAATATATTTTTTTTTGTGGAAAATATGGATTTTTTTAAAAAACATTGCAATTTCCAATATTTTTCTGTATGAAGAACTAAGGTTGCCATTCTCCATAGGCTATGGATGGACCATAGAGTGTCTTGAACTTATGGTAAAAAACACCTTTTTGTTTAAACCTGTATATTATAAACGTACGTCTATTTTTTAGTATTTTTTTTAAATGTGAGCGATTGTCCATTAATTTATCTACAATATTCTTTAATATTCGTTTAAATCCGACATGAAATTCATCGAAAATTTGTGTGGATCGATTATTTTGCACGTGAGTGTATATATATAAATATTTATTTAAAACTACACATTTATTTTCCTACAATGACGACTATTTGTAAACGTGTTTGCTTTTAAAAAAGGGAACTTTAAAGTGGTAATCCTATGCAATGGCAATGACCACCGCAATTATATAATAATATAAGTTTTGCACATTCAAGGAAAAGTTCTGAAAACGTAGCCAAAACTTGTATACCCCCTTTACTACTACTACCACTTCCAAGTCATATTTAAGTGATAAATTGGGTTGCCGTTACTATTGATAAGTTTGATAAAGTTTAGACAACTTTAAGGTGGTGTCAAAAGTGGACATAACGCTTCAGATACCAGACTGGTACACCAAAAAGTTATAAAACTAAGAAGTATTTTCTGCTGGTGCCAATCACATGCAGGGCCGGCCCGAGGTACGGGCGAACCGGGCAACCGCCCAGAGCGGCATAATGGGGGGGGCGGCATTTTTACGATTTGTTAATGATAATCAATTTTATTCAACATACTAATAGTCCAGTCATCTAGGCATTTCACCTCGGAATCTAACGGAATAAGCTGAATTTTTGTACAAACCTTTATTTTAGCATTGCAAATGTTGTCTCAAAAGTCACATATGCCAACGTGTGAGCGGCCTTAGATATTCAAGGTCAAAGGTGGCAAAAATCAATTTTTTGAGAATATCTCCTTTTCTCTGCGTCCTATCGTATTTGCATTTATTATACAAGTTGTAGAGAATAAAATTCTCTAAAAAATTTTTTTTAAACATTTTTTTATACGTCTAATCGTTTTTGAGATAGAGGGCGCAGAGTATGGAGCGCTCAGCCATACGTACCTTTAGCGCAAGGTAAATCATGAATCCCAATCTCTTATACCGTTTTTTAATTAATTATTTATTAAATATTACTTAAATAACACTTTAATACCTTATATTTATATATTTTTTTTAAAACAAATAGTCATTAAATATTACTTACTTTTGACATACAAATAATTAAATAATGAAGTGAATCATTCTAAATATATTCTAATGTTATTCTAATTAATGATAAATGCATTTTAAGAAGAAAAGACATTAAATGAATTTGTCTTGAATATGTCTCTGGTCATCTCTTGGATCCAGATATTGCTTTTAAAATAACAGACCTGGAAATACTATAGTGGGCTTGCTATAAATAAAAAGGTTAGGTATACCTATATAAAGCAAGTTGTGACCCTAGGTATAGGTCTAGGGTTGTGACAGGTAATATTCGTAATATTTTAAAGGTAAACATGGCTGATTTGTGTTTTATTTGTAATACGTTACTTTCTGAAGATGATTCTGTGACTTTTGTGCGCGGTATAAAGACTTTAAAAGAAGCAATTATTGAGAGAAATAAACATAAACTACCTAAATACTTTGACTTCTGTGAACGTTCATATTAAGTGTCAAAAATTGTACGCTATAGCGTACTACCTATAGTAAAATTGCAGCAGCAAAACGTCGCCTTGAAGAGACTGGACCTTCAACGTCATCAACTGTACCTCGTAAAAAAGGGAATGATGTGTTTGATTTTAAAATATTTTGCTTATTTTGTGGTGAATTCGCAGATGAGGCAACAAAGGCAAAAAAAATCTGCAAAGTACAAACGCGTTATAAGTAAGTTTTTAAAGATATGACAATTAATGTCAATGATAACGAGGAGAGTGAAATTGCTGGCCAACCTGAAGAAGACGAGGATGAAGAAGATAAATATTAATAATAATAATATTGATATAAATAAAAACATTTTTTCCTACTCCGATCCAATTATCCTGCATTAAAATTAAATTAAAATATAAGATATACCTATATGAAGGTAAAATATATTTGATTTAAAAGAAATATAAATATAAGTAGGTATAAGGTATTAATTTTTTTTTAGTAATATTTATTATATAATTAATTAAAAAAACGTGAATCAATCTATGATTCACGATTTACCTTGCGCTAAAGGTACGTATAGCCATATAATATATTATGGCTGAGCGCTCCACACTCTGCGCCCTCTATCTCAAAAACGGTTCAACGAATAAAAAAAAATTTGTTAACAAAATTTTTAGAGAATTTTATTCTCTACAACTTTTATAATAAATGCAAATACGATAGGAGGCAGAGAAAACGAGATATTCTCAAAAAACTGATTTTTGCGACCTTTGACCTTGAATATCTAAGGCCGCTCACACGTTGGCATATGTGACTTTTGAGACAACATTTGTAATGCTAAAATAAAGGTTGTCACAAAAATTCAGCTTATTCCGTTAGATTCCGAGGTTGATCCCTTTTTTTGACTAAGATGACTGTACTATAAACATTTTTCGATTGGCTATTTTTTCAAAAATTACGCTCGAGAAATGCAGTTTAGATAATTTAATATCTTTGTTACAAAGATTTAATAGAGGCGCTCTCGGAAGACGACCCTGGCGCCCTCTTTCATTCGTTTCTTCAATCACATCCTGTAGTTTTCTATAATTTTGTTTGACAATTAACAATTAATAATTGACAAATATTATATCACGTGCATTTGCACTGATTTTAAAATCAGTGCATAGCTAAGGTAATTTGATAATTAGAAGTATAAAATGTCTGGAAAACGCAAAAAAGATTCAGACTTTTTATAAAAACAAAAGAAGGGCGGTAGAGTACTAGCAGCAACCTTTTCCAAATTCTTGCAAAAAGAACCATCGTAGGCAGGTATAATAATTATACTATAATTAAACAATATTGTATATATGAAAATAAGGTTTAATTTTTGTTGTGTACATCTAAACATTGTTTTTGGAGGTCTAAAATCAATCTTCTGACGTGCATCACAGCAGGATTCCGTTTTGCCAAAGTCCGCTAAACTCATTACGTAATTATTAAGTTAATTTACTTTTTGATGATTCACCTGAAGTAAGTAAGTTACTTAAAATGTTCGGGTGCACTCGGTCTGTATACTTTTACATTAAAAATACAATATTTTAACAGGAATTACCTAAGAAACCAAAGAATTCTTGTAATATAAAAATATTGTTTAATTATACTCACTAAAATAGTGACACTATTTAATAATATATTTTTATTACATATATCCTATATATGGGATATAATCATTGACAAGTGATGCAATTATGTATATATACATATTTAACAGTATATTGCCTTACCTAGTAATTCTAAAGCATAAAAAACTCTTATAAAAAGTTTGAAAAAATAATTACGTTAAACTACTTTTTTTCCTATTCCTGCTGAATAAAAAGGGGGCGGCAAAAATATCTTCGCCCGGGGCGGCAAAAAAAGTCGGGCCGGCCCTGATCACATGATTACAACTATGCTAAATTAGCATTGCTAATATAATATGAATATATTTCGACTTTATTGTGGTAGATTTAGTTTTATTAACATAATTTTCGCTTATTTGGGATTTTAAGTTTATGAAAAAATCACTTCGATCCGTTGCTCCGTTGCTGCCTAAACAAAGAAACTTTCACAAATCGTCGTTAATTTCACATATTGTCGTATCTCAATTGGTCGTTAATTTTACAGTGTAATATCTCAAAAAAATCCCATTTTGAGATAGATCAAAAACTGTGACCTTATGTACAAATTAAACTTCCGCCTAAAATAATAAATTAACGACTAAATGTTCATATATGTGTCAGAATATTGGTTTAACTTAGTAGGGGAAGGTGGGGGAATTTTGCGCGGTGGGTAATTTTACGCACAAACAATTCTTCCAGATATGAAGTAAATAATACATTTTTTGAATGTTGCAAACTTGGAAACTTTGCTTTGGGTATACGGGGACTAAAGTGTACCGCAATTAAGCTTGTAGCTTTTACCTAGTGACCATGGTCACTAGCTAACTGTGATACATGTACGTTGATCTAAGAAATCCATGTCGTTTCCGCTACGAGTTAAGTTTAAATTTCTGTCCAATCGCTTAAATGTTTATAACACAACTTTATATGATCTTTCCTCGTAATCTGGTGTATGTTTAAATTGTTCAGGTTAACTTTTGGAATGTTTTTTAGTATCACAATATTTTTCTTGCAATGGGGGTAATTTTACGCTGAAAAATTGGGGTAATTTTGCGCTGCAAAATTTGGCCAATATGGGAGCTTTTGGTACAGGAGCCTAGATTGTTCATCATAAACAGTTCCATTTGGGCACACGCGGAGTGTAGCGTAAAAAACAACCCCTTAAACTACATATATGGCAACTGCTGCATGTAGACCCTCTTATTTCTAAGAACAAAAATTTTATTTTTAGTTATTTATTTTTGATCTTGTTTTTTTTGTTTGTTTCATAAAGAAAAAAGTTTTATTTTATTTTTATGTTTTATTATAATAATATTATAGAAATAAACGGTTTATTTAGATACCTACAAATCTTTCTCTATACAGCGCAAATTTCCCCCTATGCATTATTTAAAAAAATGTAGTTTTTGCATACCAAACAATTTTTTTTTATAAATTGCGCATTATATATACATAGTAAACATAGTAGACTATCGCCGGTATTAATTGCAAAATTTCACATTTAAACTTAACAAAGATACTAGAGATTTTGCTTAGATGCGCAGAATTCCCCCACCTTCCCCTAGATAGTTTATTAATGTAAGTATGTGCTAAAATTCAAAATCCAAACATGTTTAGAACTGTGTTCTGTAATAGCATTTATTATAATATAAAATTAATAATTAATTAATATATCTGTTTACATAAAATATTTTTATACACTTTGATAAGGTCAGTTACTAAAATGTAAAATCCTTCGAAACATTTTTTAAAACAGCAGATAATATATAATTACAAATACTAGATGTTTTGCTATTCAAACTATTATTTGATTAAGTAAACAGTGTTTAAGTAAAAATGGTTAAAATTGTAAGTTTGCATGGTATTGTACACTTTTTAAAACATTGCATATTTTTTAATATTTAAACACCCTAATTTAACAAAAGTTCTTTTTTATTAAAACCATAATTATTTGAATAAATTACGTTTTCTTAAAACTAACACAACTGTGCCTCAAAGGTACAAATAAAATTTACCAAATTAATTTGCATTTATTTGACTAATATTTTAAAATAAAGATTTACCAACAGTTTGTTACTAAAGTTTATTAATATAAATATATTTTTAAATGCATATATACTATATCCATAATATTATTTTTATTTATTTATTAATTAGAACAAACAACAATATTTAACGAATTTACAGCAAACTCACAAATTTTTAAAATTGCATGTTGTTTTCAGTGTGCCACCTAATAAATTGTCATCCATTGGGGGTATGATAGTACACGCCAAAACAAGAAAGTTTTTCCTCTATCATTTTTGCATTAGAGCTTCTGTTTTTTAATAAAAAAATTATGAAATTTTTTTGACAAAACCAGGGAGCCACTGGATGTCACTGACCTATCCTATTATAATTATTATTGTTTTTACCTCTAAAAACATTGATATTATTCATCCAAGCAGAAAATAAACAGGTATGCGCACAGTGTATTATATAATATCAAACTTTTAAACTTATTTAGTACTCTGTTATCATTGATTACTGATTCGGTTGTTATTACCCGTTCGGCCATCAGCCGCTCTTATAAAATTTAAGTTTATTTGTCAATAAATATTGTTCATAATATTTTAAAGTTGAATATATTATTTGTGTTGCTATTTTGAGCTAAACTTTTTGCATCTTTATTTGTTTTTATGGGTCATTTAACCATTTAACCATGGAGCCTAGGTATATGCATTTAATTCAAATAATACTGAAATTAGTTACTTTTAACTCTCAGAAATAGTCAAAGATGGTGACTAATCTTTAATTAGTCAAACTTTAACTATTTACGTAGTAAAAAATAACTATTTAAAAGTAAAGACGACTATTTTGTAATTAAAAAATGCTGGTACTAATTCAAATAGTAGAATTTTGACTATTTCATTTTTAGAGATATCTTAACAACTTAAAATAATATTTTTTACAACCATTACAATAATATTTATATAACCTTTCCTTCACTGACAAATCTTCAAACTTTTTGCTTTTGACATGCGCACATGCGCAAAGCCGCTTTCCAATTATAATTAGTGGTAAAAGTTAGATGTTTGCAAACTTTTTCCACTAATTGAAAAGTACTATAGTGGTATACCACTTATTTTTTGGTTGTGAACAACACTGTGTATATTCATAAGACAAACTTTTACGTTAATTGAAACCACTAATTTATTCCACTAATTACGAGGTTCTGAATGAGGCTTTAGTCAAATATGACTTATAATTAGTTATTTTTGACTTATTCATTTTAAAAGATTTAATAATAACGGCGGGATAGTTGAACATTTATTATAATTTTGTGGAACACTTGAAAACCACGGAAACTTCGAGATACCTAACAATAAAAAGTAAGTATTGTTTTATTTAAAGTACCTAAAAATAGCTGAGTATGCAAAACAAAAAACAATTATCAACACGGAATGAATGATAACACAAATGTAAATTTTTAATAAATGTCGAGTATTGCCCACTGTGCGAGCATGTTTTAGTAATTTGTCGTAGGTCAGGAACAACCAGTGGCGGCTCAAAATTTCTACTTTACTTATAAAAATTTTAATGATTTTTTTATTTAAAAAAATTGGCACTAATGCAAAAATGATAGAGGAAAAACTTTCTTATTTTTGTGTGTACTATCATTCCCTTAAAGGATGACAACTTATTTGGTGACACTCGGTATAACTTATAATTATAATTATTTCTTAAGAGATATTACCCTAATTTATAATATTGGCTTTGTACTTCAACGTTTTTAAGAAGACCTTAAACCAAAAAACATAAAGTACTATCGCTAACAAAAAAAACTCATACAGCTATATTGTGGCTGTGTGAATAAAACTTTTCCGTCAATGTCAAGCTGACATCGAGCTCTGTCACATCCATTATGACTTTTTTAACATTTTTAACCAAACAATGCAGACGAACTCTGGCAAGCCATTGAAGCCATTTGGAACGAGATAAAACAAGACGGCGACTTCCATGCTTTGCCATTTGCGGGCAGTAATTGACAAAAACAGAAGGATGACGAAATATTTTTTTTTCAAACTTCAACCTAACTTTGTATTTAATTTTAGACCTTTCAAATGTGACGTATCATGTTAAAAGCCATAATTACTCCAACGAAATGATAAAAAATCAGGAACACTAGATTTTTAAGCTGTATGAGTTTTTTTTGTTAGCGATAGTACTAAACATATATGTACATCTGTTATTGTTTTGTTTTACATTTTTAAGTGCAGTTTTCATTATATTGTTAGATTTATAAAATTCTTTCTTTCTTTTTTAGAAATTAATATTATTAATGGTGTTGGCAATATACAATAACTTTATATTTGCTTGCGAAACAGAATGTTGTTCGAGCTGCATAATAACGTGCCGAACTGTTTCGTGTCGACGAAGTTGTTGCAATAATTGCAATACAAATTGCAACAACTGTAACGAAACAAATAATTGCGGAACCACAACCACAACAGAAAAAGCAACAAATCAACCAACAACATATCCGAATCCCACAACTTCACAAACCATTAATAGCGACTCAAATTTTATTATAGACAATAAAAACACTGGTAGTGTAGTTAACTATTTAAATATTACGAACACTGCAAATATTTTAAATAATATAACGGTGCCAATTAACGTTAACAATGAAAATAAAAATTTTTATGAAATAAAATTATACAGAAACCCAACGACAGGTCCTTTTACACCTACACCAACAAGTACATCAACATATACAACACCTCCAACGAATCCAACAAACCAAACAAATCCAACAAAGTCAACATATCCAACAAGGTCAACATATCCAACAAGGTCAACATATCCAACAAGGTCAACATATCCAACACAACCAACATCTCCTACACATTCAACCCGATCGACAAGTACTACACGTTCTCTTCCTACTCAATCAACACCACCTACATCATCCCAAAAACCAATCCCAACATTAACTCCTTGTGGTACCCTCATACCCATTTTCTATCAAATACCAATTTATTATCCCCGTCCACCAGAAAACTGCTGTTACGTCATTAACCCTTGTATAACCTCGGGCTGTCAAAAATATAGCAGAACATGCGGAAGCGAATGCACAGGCAAATACATGTATCGTTCAATGAATCCTTGTCAAGAAAACTCATGTTATCGCAGGTCACATTGGAACAGAAGGTCCTGCAGCTATGGATACTGCAGAAACATTATTCAGGATTGTTCTCAGTGCGCTGAAGAGTCATTTTACAATTTTAATTCTTATCAAATGTGTTCTGGTTGCTTTTACATGTAGGAACAGCAACATTAGATAAGCCTCCAGTAAAATTTTCCAGAGTAGAAACAATTTGTTTAGCTTTATTATATATAGGTAAATATTTAATATAAAATGTGAGATAAGAAAATTGCCTTAATGACCAAAAACTGTTTAGGGAAAAGTGATTTAAAGTAAAAGGGTTGGGAAACAGGCTGCTTAGACAAGGTTTAAATTTAGATAAAAGGTTCGCGAACACACGTATATGGAGTTGAGACTTGTAGAAGTGCACAAGTTGCTCTTAATTCCTTGATTCGTTACGAAGCTTAAGTTTTAAGACAGTTATTACTAGCTTGTTGACATTCTTAGTAATTATCAGTAGTAATATCACAAGAGAGTAAGAATAAATAAGAAATAAGGTTTTCAAAAACCGGTTACCAGAAAATATTGTCTATTGCCAAATGATAAGCGGTTTGAGAATTGTTTTTATCTATCTCTCGGGTTGTATTCGTTGGATTATTTTTTGACGTAATTACCATGCCTTAACAATTAACATAAATATAAAAAAATACTTTATAATATTCTTCATTTCCACTATAATAGTATTTTTATTGGCCAAAACGTACACACACTACTAAAATTGAAAGTTTCTATTGGTTTTTAAAAACATTAAAAAATAATCAGAAGTATAGAAAATCTTAATATCATTTGTTTGGTCTTCGGGCAATTTTCTCACTCCATACATGTTTATACTATAGTGTATATAATATACATACATTTATTTTGTAATATTGTAATTTATTTAATTAAAATATTTTGTGTAGTTTTGTAATGATTTACTAAAAAGACTTTGTGATGGTTAAAGTTTGTATAAAACCAGAGCAGAGATAAAAAGGGATTTTCAGTGGTGCATGACAAACAAAAAGTTTGCTTGCAGGTTTTTGTAAATGTATGCTTTATTTATACTGGAAAATAATATATTTTGGAAGTTTGTTGCAGCGAACTAATAATATTCCGTCGCAAATAGCTTGAAACAGTCTGCTTCATTATGGAATCAGTCGGAAAAGCAATTCCAATAGACAATCAAATACTACGAAAGGCATCAAAAAGAGATGAAAATACTGGCGCTTTTGTTTGAAAGTCAAACCAAAAGCAAAACAAATAACATCCTCATTTTGAAACAACGAATATATCTCGAGTTAGTATTTAATTCATTTGTTCTCTACCAAAACAATTTCCTTTTGTGTTCGCAAATATGAAAGAAACTGATTTATATGCGATAATGTTGCTTTTTCAAACTGAAAAATTGCTTTTATATTGCCGATAATTTTTTACTTTGTTAATTGTATTACTTATTTCTTTCAAGCTTTTACTAAAAAATCTTTTATTGCGAAACTTAAAATTTTTCAATTCATTATTATTATTATTCATTATTATTATTATTCATGTTATTATTGTGCTAGAGTAACTCTTACTTTTGCGCAAAATAACAAAACACTTTTTTATTATATGTCTTAAGAAAACAGGTCCCCAGACACAAGTATATTTTAAAATTCAAGATTTTTAAGTGCAATTAACCCAACCAACTAATTTCTGTAAAATAATTTATTGGCAGTTTTTGGAATACCAAAATTTCAGTCGTGGTATAAGTTTTGTATGATCAAATTATAACTCTTTTTGATAAGCTTACAGTTTAAAAAGCCCAATTTTTGCTATCAATTTTTTCGTAAAAATAAAAATCAATAAATTTTCTAAAAATGACTTGAAAATCAATATATTTTCTAAAAATGACTTTAAAATCAATAAATTTTCTCTGTAGCTTGACGTTACGATGGTTTAATATAAATTGTATATTGGTATATTGCTAGAAAGAATAGGCCTGTTAACTTTCACGAATGAATACAAAAATAAAAAAATACAAAAATAACCAAATTTTTTTACCTTTATAATCTTTTAACATGATATAAAACCATAAACAGCATATTTTAGTATAAAGTTGAATTATGTTCTACTACATACCTTTCCTAGAATTTTAAACGATTTAAAGAATATGAACATAACCTAGAAACCATGCTAGGAACAGATGTTGGATCCTTTGTAATTCTTGACAAAATTGTTATAACATCGTGACGTCACGTCAAGTTCATAGAAGAGTTTTGAATCTTGCTATGTAGCATTCTCAAAATTTATTTTAGAAACGTAAAAAAAAATAATAACAAACTTGGATGCGTAATAGTATACTATATTATAATAAAGGAACTAAGTATGCACCTAAATAGGTAAATAGTTATGTATGTCTTTTTGTGCTCAGGACCCCCGACGAGCATGGATATGCGGTTTGTAACAAATTTTAGGTTGAGATTTGAAGTGTTCGCAACGGTATAGTTTACACCTGTATTTTTAAGCCGCTAATCTTTATGGCCCACCCTGTATTAACGTTTAACAATAATAGTGGCTTTGATTTAACATAATGTTAATACAATGGTTAATAAGTAATAGTAATAAGTAACTTTTGCTCAAATCTGTAGTGGTAACACAAAATGGAAGAAAGTTTAAGTCTGAGCCATAAGTTAGAGCTAAAAATAAATATTGTAGGTAGTACCAGTACTAGGTACTTAAAAGTACCAACAATATACGTATTTATTTTTTAATTTTCATATAAAAAGTTTGAAAGAACGCAGTGCACTATTAAAATTATAAAAATTGCCTGTTTTTATAGAAAAATTATATTTATTCCTACAATTTTTGTTTCTTGTAAAATATTATAAACTGTAGGCTGGATTTCGTAACTCTCAAATGCCTGGCAGAGTTCTCTTTTACGCTTCGGCGGTTTTTTAATAAAAATTGCACAGGAAGGAGTCTTAAAGAAAAGTCTAATAAAAAAGTGTCTTGTGACGAAAACATCAAAAATCAGGTGGTTTGATTGAAACTTCAAGGAAAAATCACAGGGGAATTAAAATTGCAACGAGGCTTTTGAACGTTTTCCAACTGGGATCACAAAGGATTCTTTCTTAAATTCATTTACTTTTAAATTTATTTTGTATATTGTTAGGTATATTAAGGGTATTAATTAATATAAAAATAGGCAATAATTTATTAAATAAATTTTATAAATATTTTCAGGGTTAATGAGAAGAAATTTAAAATTAAGATAAGTTACACAATAAAACTAAACTGTTTGTCCAAATATAGAGATATGAATACCAGATTTGCCGAATGCTATACAGGGTACATTAAAAATTTAGTTACATACATTTTAGTTACTTGTATTTTGACTATTTTTGATTTTATAAAAATATATTTAAACCATTTTTATTGTTTCTATCTAGCTTTATTATAAACAAAACTCATTATCACAAATCTTGTCTTGAAATTGTAATTTTATGATAATAACAATGTATTTTACAATATACATTACAAGTTTATTTTCTTCTGGTAAAAAGCCCTATAAGTTGTATACTCCATATTCTGATTGTAATAACTATTTTGATTTTCGGAATACGAGGGTGGATCAATAAGTACCCGTGTTTGAAGACAGGTGGCGTTGCTGAGGGAAGTTGGCTTTACCATCGTGTACTGTCATCTGTCACATGACACCATACTAAATTTCAAACTGATTCATAGATTGGTTTTTATTTGGCAGCCACTTGTACCATACGTGTGTCGCATTAATCGATAAAATGGAAAAAGAACAGTATCGATCCGTAATTCGCTTTTTATTTTTGGATGGAAAAACATGCGAAGAAATAAAAGTGAAGTTGGATGCTGTCTATGGGGACCCTTCACCATCTATGACAACCGTAAGATATTGGTTCAACGAATTTAAACGTGGTCGTACATCTGTTTTTGATGAGGAGCGACCAGGCCGCCCGGCAGACGTTGTTACCGAGGAAATCGTTAAAAAGGTCCAAGACATGATTGTCGCAGATCGCCGAACGAAAGTGCGAGAAGTAGCAGAGGCCGTAGGCGTATCATACGGAACGGCAATTAATATTTTGCATGATAAGTTACACATGAGAAAGGTATCTGCCCGATGGGTGCCGCGATTGCTTACGGTGGACAACAAGCGGATACGGCTGTCAATGTCAAAGCAGAGTTTGAACCTCTTTAATCGAAATTCGCAGGAGTTTTTGCGTCGAGTCGTCACCGTTGATGAAACCTGGATACATTATTATACGCCAGAGACTAAACGACAGTCGAAGCAATGGATTTTTCGGGGTGAATCTGCTCCGAAGAAAGCAAAGACGGTCCCATCGGCCGGAAAGATCATGGCCACTATTTTTTGGGATTCCAAGGGAATAATCCTCATGGAATTTTTGCAGAAAGGAAGTACGATCACAGGGCAGTACTATAGTGAATTATTGGACCGATTCGATCAAAAATTGAAGGAGACACGGCCTCATTTGGCTAAGAAAAAAGTGCTGTTTTACCACGATAACGCACCAGCACATTCATCGAGAATTGTCGCGGTCAAATTGCAAGAATTGCACTACGAATTGCTGCCGCACCCACCGTACTCACCCGACTTGGCTCCATGCGACTTTTTTCTATTCCCCAACATGAAAACGTGGCTCGGGGGAAAAAAATTCAGCTCTAACGAGGAGGTTATCGTCGAGACTGGAGCGTATTTTGCTGAGTTTGAGAAGTCGTATTTTTTGGAGGGTTTAAAAAAATGGCAGAAACGTTGGGAAAAGTGTATAGCACTTAAAGGAGATTACGTTGAAAAATAGAAATAAAATTTTTTGAAAAACTTGTCTCTTCCTTTCTAACACGGGTACTTATTGATCCACCCTCG